TGTTGTAACTTTGAAGCTTTTATTTATCATTGTTTAGTAATTTTATAAATTAGGCAAACATGCTCATTCTTTAGCAACTCAGTTATAGGAATGAATTGCTATCCTAATTCATTTGTATGAAAAATATTTTTTTTTTGTCTAAATTGCTTTTAAAAAATTTTATTTTTTTTGTGTGTAGATATATAGCAATTTTGTCATTAAAAAAAACATAATATCACCAATTGTATTTACACATTATTAAAACCTCATATTGTAGACGACATTGGTAGTAGCAACATAATCTTGTCCGTCATCGTCTATAGCAAACATCTTCAGTCCATTAGAATGTGTGACTCGGGTGAAAATATATCATCGTAAAATATCAGTCAATTAGTAATATCATAATAATTTTCAACCAATTATTCTTTTTATTTTCCGTCAATTAATCAATTAGAATATCATATGCAATGGTATTTTTACCTAATTTCAGTTTTATTTTTAATTGGTGATGTAGAATATTATTATTGAAATATTTCCGTTCCATTTTTAATTTACCTTTACTATTGTTTAAAATATGCCTTTACTATTGATGATGTAGAATATTATTATTAAAATATTATCTTTTCATTTTTAATTTACTTTTACTTGATGATGTAGAATATTATTATTGAAATATTTTCGTTCTATTTTTAATTTCCGTTCTTTTGTTTTAAATTTTGAAAGATTTATTGTGATATAATTGATTCACATATTTCAATTATTTATTTTTTCTTTAATTATTATAAACAGAAATGATATTGTACTAATTAATTTATGATATTTATCAAATTGTATTTTTTTAAAATATAAGATTTACACATGTTATGAGGGGTTAAAAAAATATTTTAAAATGATTTTTTATTAGTATGAATTTTTATTTTAAAATATTTTATAGCAATCCAAACACTCCATTAGCCTCCTATAAAAAACTGATAAAAGAAAAGCCATTTCATTAAGGAAATTAAAATTAATTAAAGTAAATCAAATCATGCTATATTTATTTGTAACTGTATAATTTTGAAATCATTGATTCACATATATGATTTTTTTTAATTATTATAATTTATAAACAGAAATGATATTCTACTAATTAATTTATAATATTTATCAAATTGTAATTTTTAAAAATATAAGATTTACACATGTTATGGGGGGGGGGGGGGGAAGGGGGGTAAAAAATATTTTAATTTTTTTGGACAAAGTACCTGCTAGGTCCCTATACTATAGCATTTTGTTCAATTTAGTCCCTGTACCTTAATTTTGTTCAATTTAATCCCTGTACTTTAAGATTTAGAACAATTAAGGACAATATTTAACACCGTTAACTTTTTCCGTTAAGTTTGTCCATGTGGCGTTGAATTTGCCATGTCAGATTGTGTGATGTGGCATAAAATAATATAATTTCGACCAAAAGGATGTTAAGACTCAAACCTAAGAACCTTTGCTTTAGAGGATGAGTTCTACACCACTAAGCTACACAAAATATTTGGTTAATGTTAGTTATACTTATTTAATAACAGTTATTATTTTGAAGTACTAAAGAATAAAAAAGGAAAAGGCATTTACTCACAGATATGCTTAACTCCTCTTCTGCTCTGCGTACTCCTCTGGTCTCGAAATCACACTAAGCGCACAAACCCTAAATTCATGGATTCAAGAAGAAGCAAGAATGATACAATTGAAGAAACAACTCAAGGTATCTCTTCACCCATTTAACTTTTTAACTTCAAATTACATGTTTGCATCACATGATCGAATTACAGAAATAAAATTCTCCAGTTACTTTTATCCTAATTCTTGAACCAAACTCTGAAAATTCTAATTAGATGCAATATTGCGATCTGCGAACTGTAATCTCTTACTCTAAATTCAAATTTCTCATCTGCTAGTTGCGGTCCTATCAGCTTTGAAAATATGAAATAAAATCTGAATTGTTTCACTGTATTGTTGCCGTAGAGAGATTACAGCTAAATCTATTTTTATTTTCTTTGCCTTTTTGATATGCTTGATTTAGAATAGTTATATTTATCAAACTGAAGTTAGAGTTATAATATTTCAGGAATTGAAACTTTGAAAAAAAACAGTATTTGCTTTCATCATGGAGGAATATTGGTTCAAACTGTAGAATATTTAAATGGAAAAATGAATGTATTTGAAGATGTTGATGTTGATACAATATGTTATTGGACTTTACTTGAAATGGTAGTGAATTTAGGGTATAAGTTAGATGAGATTAAAAGTATATATTATGGAGAACTGGAGTCCACTGATGGGAGTTTGAAAATTCTATTTGATGATGAGAGTGTTCATGGTATGTGTGCATTATTGGAGAAGTCTGGAAATATTCCACTATTTGTTGAACATACTGACTATGTTGGACAAACAGTAACTCATGATGAAATTCCAATTCCTGATAGCTTTTTTGAGACAGCAAAGTGTGGAGATGAAAGTGATGAAGCTGAGAATGTGGAAAGTGAAGGAGAAAGATGTGAAAATACATTAGAAAGTAATGGCGATGATATAAATGACGTTCAGCTATTATGGTTGAGTGATGAAGGAGAAAATGAATTAGCATTGAGTAGAGAAAAAATTAAACAATATCATGAACATATACAAAAGCTGAGAATTGAGATGGAAGAAAAAGTTGATGATGATGTATTGGTTAATACAAAAAAGAGAAGATATAAAAATATAAAAGATGATGATGGCCCATCAAATAAACATTTAGCAGATAATGAACGTCATAGTGATTATATTTCCTCTTCTGATCCTGGGAGCTATATATCCACTAGTGAAGGTTCAGATGTGGATGATGCTCAAAGGTCCAAGTCAAGTGGGTTGCATTACAAACCAAATGGAACATTTGAAGACTTCTTTTTAGAGCAAATTTTTAATGATTCAAAGCAATTTAAGCTGGCCCTAAGTGAATTTTCTTTGAAGAATCAATTTGCTTATACTTTTAAGAAGAATGATAGTGTTAGAGTTAGGGCAAAGTGTTCAGCTACTGGATGTAAATGGGAGATATTAGCTTCTATACATGGTAATGATAGCTCATTCAGAGTAAAAACTTATCATTCAGAGCACAATTGTTTACCTACATCTAAAAATAGTCGGGTGACATCTAAAATAATTGGTAGAAGGTTAAAAGATGACATCACTAAGATGCCTTGGATGAAGGCAAGGAACATTCGAGCTTTAGTCAGGAAGCAAATGGGTTTGACAATTGATTTACCCAAAGCCAGAAGAGCTAAACTATTTGTAATGAAAGAAATTCAGCAAAGTTACATAGATGAGTTTAAAAGGTTGAGAGAGTATGGCGATGAACTTATGGCAACTAACATTGGATCCACAGTGAAACTTGAGGTGGATAGAGTTACACCAGAGGAACCAACAATTTTTCATAGAATGTATATTTGTTTTGGAGCTATTAAGGAGAACTTTATGCACGGATGCAGGCCAATCATAGGTTTAGATGGTTGTTTTTTGAAAGGATTAGTGAAAGGACAGATGTTGGTAGCTGTGGGAAGAGATGGGAACAACCAAATGTTCCCAATTGCATGGTCTATTATACAAGGAAGAGAAAATACTGATCATTGGAAATGGTTTTTGAATTTATTGAAAGCTGATTTGGGCATCGTAGATGGCATGGGATGGACAATAATGAGCGACATGCAAAAGGTATGAGCTTTACTTGTACATTTTACCTTTATTTTATTCTTTTCATTTATTAGACATTTAAATTAATTATAACTTTAATTGTACATTTCTATGCTTGTAGGGTTTGTTGCGTTCCATAAGTGATTTGTTACCATTTGTTGAACAAAGAATGTGTGCTAGACATATTTATGCTAGATGGGGTAAAAGGTTTAGAGGAGATGAATTAAAATTTCAGTTTTGGATATGTGCAAGATCTCCCAACAAACCTGAATTTGAGAAAAATATGGCTACTTTGAGACGAATAGATGAGGAAGCACATGATTATTTGAAACAACAGTGGGATCCAATTCATTGGTGTCAAGCATTTTTTTCTGACTTCTCAAAATGTGATGTAATTGATAATAACATGTGTGAGACATTAAATGGGGTGATTTTAGAGGCTAGGTGTAAGCCAATAATTTCTATGTTAGAAGAGATTAGAGTTTACATTATGAGAAGATTAGTCAAAAATAGGGAGTATGGGAGAAATTGGAAGACTGATTATGCACCTAGACAACTTCAAAAATTAGAGAAAAATAGAAAATTGGCAGCAGTTTGGGAGGTTGATTGGAATGGGGGAGATCATCATGAAGTTTCTTGGGAGAATGTTGAGGCACAAACAAGGGAAAGTTACTCTGTGAATATAAAGGAAAAAAGTTGTAGTTGTAGAGGATGAGATATAAGTGGAGTTCCCTGTCAACATGCAATCTCAGCAATTATGTATGAGGGTCAAGATCCAACAAAGTATTTAGATAATTACTTTAAGAAGGATGTTTATCTAAAGGCATACGAGCACATGCTTCATCCAGTGAAAGGGCCAATGTTTTGGCCTAAAAGAAATGTAGAAGAAATTTTGCCACCTTATGTTAAAAAGGTGTTTGGCAGACCACAAAAGGAAAGAAGAAGGGAAGAATTAGAAGGTCGTAAAAAGGTTAAAATGTCTAGGATCGGAAGAAAAATGAAGTGTAGCATATGCCGACAAGAAGGACATAATAGGCTAAGATGTCCAAAAGTGGTAGATCCTTACTATCAAAGGCCTAATATCCAGGTACTACTGTTACATTTCTTCATTTATTCTTTGTTTGTTTGATTGATTTTTTTTTTTAATTTTTTTTACTAATATGACTCGTATTATTATGTGTTTAGAAAACAAAAAAAATGAAGAATGATGCAAGTAGACAGACAAGGCCTGAGCCATCTCACCCTACTCCAGTTCCATGCCAAACTAGTACATATGAACCTTCACAAAATGCAAATAGGCAAGCTGGTTCATTGCACCTTACTCAAGCTGGTTCATTGCACTTTATTCAAGCTGGTTCATCTCAACATACACAAAATGCAACAAGCAGACATTCAAAAAAAATTTCAGTTGTTAATGTAAGCAAACAAGTTTTGTCTTATATATATATATTTTTTACAGTACTAATTCACTTTTTATTTAGCACATAGAACTAATTTTCTTTTTCATAAAACTAGCCAGGAAAATCTAATAAATACGTAGTTGCAACATCTAATACTGAACGATACATTTCACTTGGTAAACTACAGGTGAGTGACAATTTTAATTTTCCAACCAAAGTAAATGTGTTCATAAGTTTTTATAACTTAACATTTTCTTTGCTTGTGATATAGGAAATACAGCGTGAAAAAGCTAAGGACAAACTACAATCTTCAATTCGTGCAAGAGATTCTACACCGTTTCCAACCCAAGAAAGCATCAATTACTCATTGGATTCATGAATTAGTTTTTATTATTGTGTATTAGTGCTTAATACGGTTTGGGTACATGTGTTTTTAGACAAATCAAAAATTTGGTGGCTTGTTTAAAATTAGTACATTGTAATGTTATTTAAGATGTTATGTGATGAATGAATATTTGTCTTACTATTTAAAATGTTATGTTAAACAGACATTTTTAACCCATAAATTGTTTAAAAGTTCATGATTTTATTTTTATTATTACAAATTTTAACTATTACATATTTTACTATTATTAAAATTTTTAACTAATATGTAACAAGATTAATGTGTAGCTTAGTGGTAGAGCTTTCATTCTTTAATTTAGAGGTCATAGGTTCGAAACTTTACTCTTTTTTGGTTCGAAAAATATATTGTCTTATGCCACAACACAAAATCTGACATGGCAATGCCACATCACACAATCTGACATGGCAAATCCAACGCCACGTGGACAAACTTAACGGAAAAAGTTAACGGTGTTAAGTATTGTCCTTAATTGTTTTAAATCTTAAAGTACAGGGATTAAATTGAACAAAATTAAGGTACAGGGACTAAATTGAACAAAATGCTACAATACAAGGACCTACCAAGTACTTTGACCAATTTTTTTTATTAGTAAGTATTCAAAAAATAATAATAATTTCCAGCAACTCAAACACTCCCTTAGCCTCCCACAAAAAACTGATAAAGAAAAGTCATATCATTAAGGGAATTAAAACTAATTAAAGTAAATCTAATCATGCTATATTTATTTGTAACTGTATATTAGTTTCATTTTGAAATCATTGGTTCATATATTTGAAATTATTTATTTTTTTCTTTAATTGTTATAAATATAAATGATATTGTACTAATTAATTTATGATATTTATAAAATTGTATTTTTTTTAAATGTAGTGTTTTACCCATGTGTTGCACGGAATTTTTTTTTTGTTTCTATGAATTTAAAATTAAAATAAAAAATAAAAAAATGTTAAAATGTACAATATAATAATATAGTTGGACTTTTATATATTTGGTCAAGTATCTATTTTCATAACATATAAAATTTAAATTTAAGTTTTGTATGGTTAATATAATCTCTAATCATGTACATATTTAGATAAATTTATAGAAAAAATTCATATAATTAAGTTGATTTATTCCAAATTGTATTATATATATATTATTAATTCAAAAAATATGAATAATAATAACTAAGAGAATTGTACTTAGAAATCAATAAAAATGTAAATTCTAAATTTTGTATGAACAAATATAAACTCTAATCGGACGCATATCCTTATATGATTGTATAATACATTGTATATACACATAATATTTATTAATATGTATATAGGAAAATTATAATATAATTTCATTAATTTTAATTTATATTGATCGATTTATACTTAAAAAGTTATATTTAGAAATTTAAAAAGTGTATGTATGTATATTTAAAAAAAATTATAAATATTCATGTTTTGTTAATTTTATAATTTCATTTCTTTAATTATATTTCATATTTTATTAATTATAATTTAATGAAATTATCACAAATATTTCTACGGAATAAATCTTATATTTCTCAAATTTCTTAATTATATTATTTATAATTACCAAATATTGTGGCAATTACAATAATAATTTCATTAATTATATTAATTATAACATTTTTTCTCTTCCAATATTTAAATATTACCATAATAATTACACAAAAGAAGGAAAGAAAAACTATAAGAATAATTACCTTTAATAAATTAGGAAATTATATTAAAAATAATCTATATATATTAAGGTAAGTATATTTATTTTGTGCCCAATAATATTATACATTAAGTATAAAAATATATATGTATATAAATTACCATAATAATTACCCCGAAAAAGGTGACAACACATAATTATTAGGCAATAATATTAATAATTAATTATAAAGGCAAGTATAATTGATTTTGTACTAATAATATTATACATCTATACACTTTTAATTCTATATTGATAAGCATAATCTGTGTATATACTTTAAGAAAATATTCATTATTAAAAAGGGAATATAATTTAAAAATAAAATTATTAATTAGATTACCTAATATAATTGTCCTACTAATTAATTCCATGCTACTATGTATAATAATTCATATATTTATTCATTATGAGTAATATTCATTTCCTTTTTCACTCATAGAAAAAGTTAATATTCATTTTCATTTCTTTTTCCTTCATAATTTTTTCCTAATATTTCATGGGGTGGTTACTAATTTTTTCGTAGGGAAAGCGGTGTTATATTTTCAATAAATTTTTAATATTAAATCTTTTTTTCATTTGGCCTGATTCCTATGTCTATTAGTAACAAAATATTAATAATAGATTCTCGTGTGTAAAATTCATTTTTTTCTGTTCATATTCATTTCCTTTTTCCTTCATAAATAATTAATATAATTATAATAATATAATTACTGATTATATTTTAAGTGAAATATGGATATATTCATTTCCTTTTTCATTCATAGAAGAGTTAATATTTGTTTCCATTTCTTTTTCCTTCATAATTTTTTCCTAATATTTCATTTGGTGGTTACTAATTTTTTTTTTTTTGTAGGGAAAATTGTGTTATATTTCCAATAAATTTTTAATATTAAATCCTTTTTTTTATTTGGCATGATTCTCATGCCTATTAGTAACATAATATCACTAATAGATTTTTGTGTGTAAAATTCATTCCTATTTCTGGTCATAAAAACAATATGGTACGTTTGTAATATTCATTTTCAATCACAAAAACAATTTGGTACGTGTTTAATAATCATTTCCTTTTTCCTTTACCCTAATTTTCTGTGTAGCAAATTAGTTATTTACTTATTAAGCACATTTTTTTTAATTCGAGTCCATTTTTAATATTAATTTCTTTTTTCTTTTGGTCTGATTTCTGTGCCAACAGCTGTGTTATATTTTTAGCAAGGTTGCAAAAATTGCTAGGCGCCCTCTAGGCGCCTGGGGACCGCCTAGGCGGGCGCTTAGGTGGCCGACCGCCTAGCGCCTAGGCGCGATTTTTGCAACACTGATTTTTAGTGAAATATAAACATATTCATTTGTTTTTCTTCATATTTCATTTCCTTTTGAATATATATATTTCTTTTTTTTTTTTCCTTCATAAAAAGAATTAATATTGATTTTTATTCATTTTTCTAATAATTGTCGATTAATTGGCCTGATTTCCATGTCGATTAGTAACATGATATTAATAACGGATTTCTTTGTAAAATATTCATTTCCTTTCTCGTTCATAAAAAGAATTAATATTCATTTTCACATAATTAAAAAGTAATATAATTATAAAAAATATAATTACTTTTTCCTTCATAAATAATTAATATAATTATAATAATTATAATCATATAATTGCTTATTATATTTTAAGTGAAATATGAATATATTCATTTCCTTTTTCACTCATAGAAAGAGTTAATATTCATTTCCATTTCTTTTTCCCTCATAATTTTTTCTAATATTTCACGTGGTGGTTACTAATTTTTTCATAGGGAAAGCGGTATTATATTTTCAATAAATTTTTAATATTAAATCTTTTTTTTTTTTTTCATTTGGCCTAATTCCCGTGTCTATTAGTATAATAGAATATTAATAATAGATTTTCGTGTCTAAATTTTATTTTTTTTCTTTCATATTCATTTCCTTTTTTCTTCATAAATAATTAATATAATTATAATAATATAATATAATTACTGATTATATTTTAAGTGAAATATGGATATATTCAATTCTTTTTTTTTTTTTCATTCATAGAAAGAGTTAATATTTGTTTCCATTTTTTTTTCTTCATAATTTTTTCCTAATATTTCATTTGGTGGTTACTAATTTTTTCGTAGGGAAAACTGTGTTATATTTCCAATAAATTTTTAATATTAAATCATTTTTTCATTTGGCATGATTCCCATGCCTATTAGTATAACAGAATATTAATAATAGATTCTCGTGTGTAAAATTCATTCTTATTTCTGGTCATAAAAACAATCTGGTACGTTTGTAATATTTATTTTCAATCATAAAAACAATCTGGTACAATGTTTAATAATTATTTTCTTTTTCCTTTACCCTAATTTTCTGTCTAGCAAATTAGTTATTTACTTATTAAGCACATTTTTGTAATTCGAGCCCATTTTTAATATTAATTTCGTTTTTCTTTTAGTCTGATTTCTGTGTCAATTAGTAACAGAATATTAATAAAAAATTTCATTATTAAAATTAATTCTTTAGTTTTTTTTTTTTGAATTAGAATAATGATAATTGTAATTATATTAATTAATTAATTGTATGGATATTTTTTTGCAATGAGATACAGATTCACCAATGTACCCAGATGTGTTCTCCTGCCTCAAAGCCTAATGAATCATACACATGTTGCATCTTAAATGCACGTAGATATAGACATTCAATTTATTTATTTATTTATTTTTTTTTTGAGAATGCTAATCGATTCACTGATAGTTGAAGGTAGATAACAATACTTATAATATGAAATTAAACCTTTTGGAAGAATAATATGAAATTAAACTCAAATCCAAGTTACTTTACATCTATTAATCCCTAATTGAGATTATATAAAAACGAAACATAGATTTAAATGATTTCATCTAAGAGCTTGTAAATATGGTGACTGCTTTAGTGTTTTTAGAGAGACAACGTGCTTTACCAATTCGCCAGGAAGAACCAATCTCATGCCGGCCTGGATCTCGCGGGAAGTGATTATCGGCTTCTTGTTGTAGTGGGCCAAGCGAGTCACCTCTTGGGCGAGCTTCAAGAAGATATCGTTGATGAAGCTATTCATGATGTCCAAACTGCAAAACATATTGAAGTACGTGAGAATATAGTTATAAAAATGTAGAAAATTCATACAAAAAGAAAGCAGAAAGATGAGTCTGAGATTCTTTGATTGAATAAGCTCTTGTATTTATAGGTAGAAAATACTAATTCAAAAGGAAAGTATAATAATTTA